CCCATGGACTTCAGCAATGCCAGGGGCAGAGCCAAGCCGCTGCCTACCGTTTAATACTCTCCACAAGCCTCGTTTGAAGAAGGACATGTCATAGCGCTCGGGAAACACCGTGGAGGGGAGCTCATTCCATAGCCGGATGGTACGTGGCAAAAAAGACCTCTGGAAACGCACTGTGGATGACCGCAGTGGCTCCAGGTAGTATTTCAGCCGTGAAATGCATTTCGTTCGGAAGGGGGGGCAGCTGTTGTAGCTATACTGAGAACTTAGAACTCATATCTCAAGGTGGGTGGCGGCATTTACGTTGTAGATGTCTTTGGGCTCCAGTAACCATTTAACACCTGGTGGGCTATGAGCTCGTTCACCCATTCATGCAATAAAATAAATAAAAACCTGATATAATCAGATTATAGTTTGCACATTCTAGTCACGAAAGTTCCATCAGCCGAGCGTTCTTGGGGTGAGCTGCGCGTCTGGTTGCAATGTTGACCGCGGTAATCCCTTGCCCTGCTCGGGTTCTGACCTCAAAGGCATCGGACGCTTGGGTAAGAGTGCAGGAGCATCGTTTAGTGGGTAGGACCATAGTATCATCCTTGGGACGGCAGTCCGTTCACAACTTCAGTGGGCCATCACGTCCCACATATCCCACGCACAACCTCGCAGGAGGTTTGGCCCCCGGCCCAAAAGAAAAGCACGATCTTCAAAAGTAATTAATAACACCTTAGTCCTCCATCAGACAAACTACAAATTATTCTAAACATCGGAAGTTGTAACAATTAAAATAATAATTTAAAAAATATATTATTATACATATTATAATTAAACGAAAGTTAACAATAATTTTATAATATTATCAGCTGTACCCGTCCGCTTCGCTGGACATTTAAAATTAACACATTATTATTTCTCAACCCCACAAAGAATTTCATCATTAACGCCCCCGCAACTAGGGTAGGGAGTCCAACACTCATATAAATATTAGCCTATTCATCGGATCTTCTCAGTGGGTCGCGTTTCCGATCCGGTGGTAGATTCTGCAAAGCACGGCTCTTGCTAGGGTTCGTGTTAGCAACGTCATCAGGTTTGAGCTCCGTGAGCTCACCTACAAAAGTTATGGTTACGCTGAAATAGCCTCTCAAGGCTCTCAGCTTAGGTAGGAAAAAAAAAAAAAAGTGCATGTATTTTCTACATGGATACCAAGTGTCAAATCAATCGGTTGCATGGTTCAGTAGTTATAACGGAACATCCATAAAAACCACTGTAGATTATTATATTAGTATAGATATAGTTAAACAAAATCATTAACTGCTTTGGTAATTCGGCTCCGATTCAAAAGACTTGTTTGTAAAATAACCCTATATCATATTATTATCTTCAATAATGTCAGTTATAATATACCAAAATTTAAATTTGTAAGATACCGCTATTTATAGGTATTTTTTTATTAAAAGAGATTGTGTCGCTCGTTTTCACAAATAAAAATTTCATATTCTTTGTTCTCCTCTATTTTATGGCCAACGTAAAACATTTTATGGGCTGAAGAGTTACGTATCAACAAATTACCGAATTTATTATTTTTTTTTATTCCTGCTTGATTCAAATAGTTTGGAGCTGGAACGATACTGCGTTAAATTTGAAATAAAATATGTTGCTTATACCTAAGACTTCCGTTACTGCAATGAGTTATTACACAAACGAGTTTTTATATCTGACTAGCTGACCCAGCAGACTTTGTAGTGCCTCAATCGATAAATAAAGGCCTAAACCTTTGTATAAAAATAAACTTAAAACAAACAAAAGGAATCCGTCCGACGGGGGCATATCAAAGGATTTATTAAAGGACATATCAAATTGTTATTTTTATTTAATTCCGAGAATATTCATATTTATGTACATACTTTTTAAGCCTTCTCTGGACTTCCACAAATCATTCAAGACCAAAATTAACCAAATCGGTCCAGTCGTTCTCGACTTTTAGCGAGACTAACGAACAGCAATTCATTTTTATATATACCTATATAGATAGATGGATAGATTATTAAGCTTATAAGCACCTATAACGCTTCTACTGAAATCAGATGTGGTAATGTAACTTGAACAAATAAACAAATTAACAAATAATTATATAAAAAGTCTATAACTTCGTAATATCTGCTTACAGTGTTACAGTGGTAGGAATACCAAATTTCAAATTTCAATGTTCGCATTTATTATTATGTCTTATAATAAATTTCTTATGACTGTTTTTTTTTTCGGAGATATCTGAATACATCAACCGCATTCACACCTAAAGTCGCTCAGGAAGCGTTTTACCTCTTACTATATAAAGGCTATGTTATCATAAATTACTGGCTTTGAGAAAAAGATACAAATAAAACACAGGGCTGAATAACATTTACTCTGTTTCAATAACAGCCGGCATCTTTATTTAGTATCTATACTAGTGCAGGTATGTATTTACATAATTATGTAGTATTGGGCTCGTGGCGAATAAAATAAAAACGATTCACTGGATTGTAGCTTTATTATTGTAACTAGCGACCCGCCCTCGCTTCGCTTCGGAAACATTAAAACAAACATGAAAGCAAAAAAATAAAATAATTTTTTTTTTTAAAAAAGTAGCCTATGTTCATCAGGGACAATGTCGGCTTCTAATGGAAAAAGAATTTTTCAAATCGGTCCAGTAGTTTCGGAGCCTATTCGAAACAAACAAACAAACAAATATTTCCTCTTTATAATATTAGTATAGATATAGATATTAAATCTTCCCTATTATTATAACTAAAAATATTTTGGCAGCTCTTTTACACATCGCTCAGTCAATCGTCTTCGCCATCGTCAATCGTCTTCGCCATCGTCAATCGTCTTCGCCATCGTCAATCGTCTTCGCCACCGCCAATCTTCTTGCTTTTTTCTTTTATTTTGCTTCTCTCTCTCTCTTACCGTTTTCTCTAGCTTGAAAGTTAACGTTTCGTTGCACACAGTCTTTTTTTTATTGCCCTTGTAGGTAGACAAACATATGGCTCACCTGATGGTGAGCTGCTACCGTCGCCCATGGACTTCAGCAATGCCAGGGGCAGAGCGAAGTCACTGCCTACCGTTAAATACTCTCCACGAGCCTCATTTGAAAAAGGACATGCCATAGCGCTCGGTAAACACCATTCAAACCAAACAACAGTACACATAAATACCATTCTTACTAATCCTACGTGTATTTAATTAAAATAATATTTTACTGAATGGTTACCAAAGGTACTGGATCTACGATCTACTTCCGACCATTTTCTACCGGTTGTGAGGTTAATTGTACGCTTAGTAGGTACCGTAATCCGAGTTATCTATATATTAATACGTGAAGCAAAAACTTTGTATCCCTTTTTACGAAAATTGCGCGGACGGAGGAGTAAGAAATTTTCCACACATATAGAGAATATAGAGAAGAAGTGCAAAATGCTAATATTTTTTTAAAATAATGCATAAAAGATACATTAAATCAATAAAAAAAACATTAGACACACTACATACCATGTATTTGACGCACACACGCATGCAGACTATTTATTGTCAAACTTTTGTTCTTGACGTCTGTGGTCAAATTGAGAATAGATTAAATATTGTTTGTCTTTATTAATATTTTTTTATAGTGTAGTCTTGGCGAAATTTGTGATTATAGAAGTATAAAATACAATCATAATAGTGTACAAACTTACAATTCCAATTAATTATAGTCGAATTTCGACTACTGCGGGACCTCTAGTTATAATTATAGCACGAAGCAATCATGCGTTTTGGATTGAAGGGCGGTATGGCCGCTATAAAAAACAATTCATATTACATATAAAAAATAAACAAATTGAGGCATTGAATTTTCCCGGAGTAAAAAGGTTACTATGTCACTTTATGGTACGAATAACAATCGGAAAGAATATGGTCATCCATCCTCAAATAATCCTAATGGATTACTAATACTGTTCAAACCAGTGACTGAAATACATAGTTATATACGTTTAAATAAATATATAATATAAAGATATTAAAACACCTAGACAAAGAGCATACAACCTGTTCTTCACATGAATGTTTGCCCGACGTGGGAATCGGACCAACGACCCTAACGCTGGGGAATCCATTTACGGATACCCGGTCTGTAGGGTAGACACAACAATTCTCAACGCTTTGTGACTGTTGATCGGGATTACAACAGACTTCAAAGAAAAAAAATGTTAATAGATTTCAGTAGTTCTATACCTTGCCACTTCTGATTAAAAAACAGTGACTACACCATTTAAAGTATCATTAAAATTTAGGAAAATTTAGGAAAATTTAAGTTTAGAACACAAAAATCCGGAATGTTTTTCGTTAATAATTTAAGACGTCTGAGTTGTAGATAAATTATATATTTTCTAGTTAAGTTATTTAATAAAGCGTGCTCTCTTACTTTGGGCTTTTCTTTCGTTTAGCGTATTTGGCGAAGGAGGTCAAGCAAACCTGGTTTTAAGGGTGTAAAATATTCAAAGACGATGTTATCATTTAAACCGTGTGAACCGCTCGTAAAATTATTCTTGATTTATATAGCTATTTTTTGTTGAAAGATAAGGCAGAGTTCATAATTGTTTGCTACCTATGGGTCTGTTTGTGCCTTTTTTCCTACCTAAGCTGATGACCTTGAGAGGCTATGTCAGCGTAACCAGGCGAGTAGGTGACCTCACTGGGCTCAAGCCCAGAGTGTTGCTAACACTGGCCGTAGCAAGAGCAGTGCGTCGCAGAGTCTACCATCGTATCGGAAATGCGACCCACTGAGAAGATCCGGCGAGAAGCTCAGTGTGTGCCAAAAACATAGTCCTCCATTGCATTTTGTTCACCTTTCTCGGTAGCAGCTCTTGTAACGCGAAATTCAACAGGGAGAAAATATTAACCAACGAAAACGTCATAGCTTCTAGTATGTTCCACCGCACTCGTGTTATTGCGAACATAATTTACAAGGCGCCCAATATGTTTGACAGTTGCGGGTATGGACGACGTTTGGGTGGAGCTACGCGCTCCGCGGTTCGTTGTACATCACCACAGCGCTACGCTCAACTGCGAGCATAATGTCGACTCCGACTCACTTTATAAGGTAATTATTTAAATAATGTTCATAATAACAATGAATTGTTTAATAAAAAAATAATGAAAAAATTGAAATTCAACTAAAAAATAAATAATAGTTTAAAAAAAACTAACAAAATACGCTTATATAGAAAATTCAACTAAAAAATAGAAAACTTGAGAGGTGTCAAGGGACACCCGGATGGAACGAAGTTCCTTTCGATTAATTGGTGAAGGAATTGTAATAATTTTTTTATTATTATTATTTATTGTGTACAAAAAACCTGTATACACTCAACAAAAATAATCGTCGCGACACCACACTGTTCAATGCGAAATAGAAAGACGAAACGAAAATAACTGGCTTGCTTTCTATGAGAGAGAGAAAGAGAGACAGACAGAGAAACACGCGCACGCCGCACGGCTTAAGCAAAAAGTGTCGTTACAACTTTTGGTCTTAATTTTTTCCGTCTAGCTCCCTTTCGCAACGCGCGATAAGGAACTTCGTTCCAAAAATTGATTGTCTATAAAGTAGGTTTACGGACAATAGCTCTAAGTGATAAATAACGTCATAAAAAAAAACATTGATGAGAAATTGCATACCTGAATCGAATTGAATTATTATCACTGAATTATCATTATTTTGTATATTAGAAAGGAGTTAATTGAAAATTATTATTTTTTTCGATAAATTAACGCTTGGGTTGATCGTGCCTCTCTATCGCTTGTTCCGCGCTCTCGCTTGCACGCTCAGACTTAGACGGAACGTTTTTATTTATTTATTTTTTATTACCCTTGTAGGCAGACGAGCATACGGCCCACCTGATGGTGAGTGGTTACCGTCGCCCATGGACTTCAGCAATGCCAGGGGCATTTTCGTGCGTACAGCCGGTGTTCTTTGATTTTTAACACGTTATCACGCCAAAATGTTTCGAAATTTCAACGTCACAAGAGTTCTGACACTGACATTGACTGCACTTGTCAGTAAGTATTCAAAAGTCGGTCGTAGAAATCGATACAGCCATGTCACTGCTCACTCTTGAGCCGCGAACCGCGTTTGAGGAGTTTCCGCCTCGACGAGGAGCTCATTCCAAAAACAGCTACATCAGCCTACAGACGTCCACTGCTGGACATAGGCATCCCCCAAGCCTCGCTACAAAGATCGGGCCTGCGCTTTAAAAACGGATGGAAGGTGACAAAAAGTCCACAGAAACATGATTACTTACCACCAGACGCAGCACAATTGCAGAGGTCTTTCTCATTTTAACTATACAGCTATACATTTACGCATTCATTGTCACAGCGATGTGTAGCACAGCTCAACTAATTACTAAGATATATTTTCATTTGAATACAATGCAACGAAGATTGTTGTGTCGCGAATTCAAACTAGAACACGCTACTTTGTAACGCAGATAAACTAAAGACGGTCTTACTAAACTTTGACCTAGGAATACGGTATGAATGCACAGCATTGTTTCGTATCGTATCTTAGTTGTGCAAAGCTAAATAAACATTCTATCTTTTAGAGAAGGTTGCTTACAGACCGATCATAATCTCTGCCGTGAAGCAATAATGCGTTTCGTTTTGAAGGGTGGGGTGGGCGTTGTTTTGTAAAAACAGAGACTGTAGAACTAATACTTCAAGGTGGGTGACAGCATTTACATTGTTGATGTCTATGAGGTCCGGTAATCACTTAACACCAGATGGACCGTAAGCTCATCAAACTAACTAAGCATAAAAAAAAAGTCAGGCTTATGATACGTAGAATCGTAATAGTCCAATTAAGGAAGGCGGCACCTTGTGAGTCCTCTACATAATTCCTCCTAATCGATCGGTAGGCAGCGGCTTGGCTCTGCCCCTGGCATTGCTGACGTCCATGGGCGACGGTAACCACTCACCATCAGGTGGGCCGTATGCTCGTCTGCCTACAAGGGCAACCAAAAAAAAAAATAATAATAGTTCCTAGCTCTCTTGTCTATTTCTGCCATGAAACAGTCGTGCCTGTTTTAAGGTTTGGAACAACCGGTATATAATTCAATTGAGACCTCTAATCTCCTGTGGCTAGCTGCATTTACGTTATTAACTCCTTGAGCGACAACCGTAACTAGGCCGAGAGCTCGTCCGTCGTCTAGTGCACTGCAAATATTTTCTACACAATGTCGTATATAACTAACTATAGGTATTTTGCAGTTTATGTTTTGCTCAACAAGAATTATTTCAGTGCAAAACAAATTAAGGTGTTTTAGGGATTAACGACGGAAGGGAAAGATCTTCCACCGAGCGGGTGATATTTGCTCGGTAGACCGACGGTCCCCGAATGTTTTTGTTCGGAACTTGTATATATGCGCTTTATCTTGAAAATGTCGTGCGAGATTCAGGCATCTGTCAATTATCTTACGTTGTATGATGGCTACCCGCCACAGTGTAAAAAGCAAAAACTGATTTAATATACCACCTAGTCGATAACAATTATCATTTTTTAAATTCTAAGCGTTTGTGAAATTCGATAATAACTCAAGATATATAATTTTCAGAGCTATTATGTATACGCATTAACTTAGGATACATTTCCTATGATTTGAATCAGACCGAAATCTCCAGGAGGGAGAGACCTTAGAGCGGACTAAAAAGTTTTACAATGATTTCAATGACAACATCTTCTTCAGATTTCACGAGTTGTATATATAACTGAATAATGTCACGTAACGATTTAGTTCTAATGATATTAATTATAAAATAAGAATGATTAATAATTACATCGACGGTGATGATCATTATAACTTGGAAGGATTACCGGCTACCGCCACAATAACAGTAAGTGCTGATGATTCTAGCAATTTAGAGAAAATACTTTCCCCATTCGAATACATTTTTAATTTTGGTCGGTAGCTGAATTTTCGCACCAAAGTGAACATTAGTAAGTATAACAAAAAACTTTTTATGTTAGTACACTAAATATGCTCCTAAATCTAATTAGAACAGAAAGAATTAAAATATGCCATTTTACTAACTTGAATGGAGAATTTTATTATGCTAAGCCTATACGGTTCGGTTCATAAACACTACCATTAGTAGTGATTAAACTATATTAATTAGCAACTGAATCCGAGCCTTGCTTTCTCAAATTGCTTTTGTACTACGACGCACGCAATTCCGTGTACCTTTAACCTTTGAAGAAAACTGTTCTTATCTTATCAGCCATCGAACAAGTCTCGTGGGCTTCAATTCTGTCTATTTATAGTGGTAGTGAAGGTTTCTTTTGTGTTCTTCAGGGCTGTTACACAGGTTCTGCCGTGAAACAGCAACGGGTTTCGCTTTAGAGAAATAGTCTTCGATCTTATATATCATCTTATATACCTGGCTGAGCAATGGAATTACTTTGGTATTGTTTACAACAATTAACTCGACTTCAGCAATTAAAAATACTCTTTCGTAAATTGAATTCCTTAAACTATCTTTTAATGTTTGAACTAAATAAATAAAAAAAATTAAAATACTACAACATAATTATTCGATTCTAAAAGGCTTTGGGCCTTATTTTTACTAGAGTAAAGTTATTAGTAGTTACTAGTAGTTACTAGAGTAAAAATAAAGTCCAAAGCCTTTTAGAATTTAACAGGAAACTATTCCTGCTAAAGTTATACTAAGGTCTATGAGTTATTCTAGCTAAGATTAACACGATTTAGAAGTTTAGGGAAATGTTCGGCACGTAAAAGTCAATCGAAAGAGAAGATAAACAAACTTTAAATTATGTTATGGTCTCAATGTAATTCATGGAACCGCCAAAGTCGCTGCTTTACTTAAAGTTACATCTCGAAATGAATTTCCCGAAAAGCTGCGACCAACTTGAAGTATAGAGAACGTGTCTAAAATAAAGAATGCATTAGACTTGGAGATGACTAACAGCTGCGTGATAAAGAAATGCATATGAATGCTCTAGACACAACTATTAATTTTTATTGCCCATTTAGAGAGAGGTGCATACGGCCCAACTGATGGTGAATAGTTAGCATCGCTCATGGACGTCAGCAATGCCAGGAGCAGAGCCAAGTTGACTACTGTTAAAAACTTTCAGCAGACCTCGTTTGAAGCATGATATCTTTATATAATAATATATATATTTCTTCTGTGCGTGTGTTTGTCACTGAGCTCCTCCTAAACAGCTCGACCGATTTTAATGAAATTTTCTGTGTACCTTCAGGGGGATTCGAGAATGGTTTAAATTTACAAATCAGCCCGGCAGATGGCGCTGCATTTGGTATCTAGGTTATTTATCTTTCCTAGAAATAATTTATATGGCAAAACAACGTTTGTCGGGCCAGCTAGTAAGCATATAAAGTAAATGCTTTAGAGTTTCGAAAGGCCTACATGAAATACATCTCAGTGTTTTTGTTAGACGTAACAAATTACACAAACGATTTCAAACAAAAACATTGTGTGGTAAGAAATTTCACCAGTAAATCTATTTTAAGCACCGTCTGGACGCAGGTCTTTATCGTCGATTTACCACAAGCTTTAGACGTACAAGCGACCAATTACCATGTCGCCACCTAGCTTGAAACGGCAATCATAGTCTCATTTATGATACATCACAACAGTCCCGCCCTTTGGAACCGGAAGGCACAGCTGCATCCTTACAGAAATAGCTACAGTGCTATCTACCCGCGCTAGCTCATAATACGTTCTATCGCCAATAAAAAGCTTATCTAAACGGATTCATAACCTTTCTTTATTACTTAGACGGGTAAACGAACTGACGGCCTATCTGGTTTTAAATGGTTACCGAAGCCCAAAGACATGTCAAAGTCTCTCTCTGAATCATGTCACCCAAGTCTAATAAGGTCTTTGTCTCGATTGCTTAATCATTATGCTATCACTATGCGAAACGCATTACTGCTTCACTTCAGAAATAGTCAGGGTGGTGGCTACTCGTGCGGACTCATAAGAGGTCCTACCACCAGTATTTGAACATCGACACAGTACGCTCGATACAAGTACACAAGGGGTTTTATTGTTTGGGCCACGACGACTTCCCATTGCTATTATATTATTATAAATTAAATTTAAAATGAAAAGCATAATATGAATTTGATAAATACGTGAGTGAACAACATAAAGATTACCATAAATTAATAAAACAAAACTCCTAAAAACACATAATAGTTTTCATAGAACCTTTTTCGAACCACATTGGATTTCGTCCGATATCCGATTTACACAAACACTATTGAATATTCATTTCGTTTCGTTGGCCGTTCCTGAACTATATTTATTGATGAAATACTCTATATTTTGTTATTGGTATTATTGTGTAAGTTTTCGCTACCAATTAGAATCGAGCTGTGTGTGTCGCATGAAACGTATGCGCTTGCAATTGGTTAAGAATATTGTTCCCTGACCCCACTATCTGAGTCGTCTATTATCAAAGGTGGCAATCTGTGTATTTGGACAAAAAAATGTTATTGATATGTCAATACAGATTGATTTGAATATAATCGTCTCCTTCAAAGAATACGGTTCAAAACCTACATTAAATAAAGGTTAATACTTAACCTGTTATTTATCTAAGATGTCGCTCAGAAGAGTTTTGTGACTGCCAATGGAATACAAAGTCAATAATTCGTTTTTCTCATTTACCAATAATTGTCCAAAAGTCACATTGCCGGCTTTGATAAAAGTCGACTCATAAAAGTCGAATAGCCGAGTCCCGCGATGTTTCCCGTGGTTATTGTCGTACCGCGGGTGACGTCCCGGAGCGAAGCTAGTCTAAAAAAACCTAAGTTACTCCATATATCATCAGCTACCTGTAAGTGAAAGTCTCGTCAAAATCGGTCCAGCCGTTCCAGAGATTAGCTGGAACAAACACACAGACAAAAATTATAAAAAATGTCATTTTGGTGTATGTACCGTATATATATTCATATGCATGTAGTAAAAAGTAGTTATTTCAATATTATAAACAGACACTCCAATTTTATTTACATGTATAGATAAGTGTTCCTTTTACTAGCATAATAATATTATAATAGTGGTATCATTAAATGCCGCAACGCGCATAATTTTTGAACCAGATTTGTTTTGTACCGATCAACGTTCAATATTCTAGTACAAAATCCCGGCTACAATTCTCTGTGCATTTAATTAATTTACAAAATGAATCTGCATTACTTATTTATTTATTTAACCAACAAACAAAGCTATAAGTCTTCATTAGATAAATTCGATTTTGGGACCGTATTCGATCTGGTTACACTTTATTAGAACTATTCATCAAGATTAAATTAAAAACTGTATTTCTCTTACGAACAAAAAATCTTAATGACGTAATCCTAAACACGAGTAAACCTGTCGAATGTTCGAAAACAACCTCATAAAGTCAAAATATTCGAAAACATTTCTTCAGCATACAGCCTTCTGTTACCTTTGTTAAGGTACAGACATAAAATTGAATAGATGTTCAACTCAGGGTAATTCCTTTTTTTTTTTGCTTTTAATAGGTAGTATTTTTCAAGAACGGCCAAAGGATAATGAAGTTTGTTCGCGGTCGGGATCCGCCCTACGAGCTCTACAACATCACCGGGGCTGATTTAAACGTAAGTAAACATTTGAAACGTAAGTAAACATTTTTACATGTAAAATCAACATTCACTGCAATTTGGTAAAGTAAAAGTTTTTAGGAGGAAGTACCTAGACGAGCTATGAAACTTTAGGAGGAAGTTGGAGAGCTATTATTGTTTCATTAGTGGTCGAGCGTATTGTGAGCTTTCACGGAAAAGCTCACTGTTTTCCTATTTCCGACAGCCGTTTTGGAATACAATTAAGAATGACCTTAATTATATTATATAAAGGTCAAGTTGTAATGCCTTCACTGATGACTTAACACCTGTATCTTGAATTTCGTCTAAGCGTCTACAGCAAGAAAATTAAAATCAACTAAGCATCGAAATATCATTTGTTTTTTAAATGTTTATTTTGAAAATTCAAAATCAATAGCGCGAAACGAAACACGTAAAAAAAATTACCTAATTCATTAAAATGAAGTTGATTTATCAAAACATCGGACGGGTCGTGACGTCTCGTGGATTTCCAAGAAAGTTCAGGCCCTAATCAGATTATTTAAAGACCGCACCAAAATTAACTTTATGACAACTTAATTACTTTTTCGTTGAGCGAACGCCAGAGAGTATTGTGTAAAGTGAGAGAAACTTTTCATGTTATTTTTTTTTTGGGGAAAGTTATAACCGGGGGGCAAGTAAGCCTGTACCGAGTTTTATTAACCGGATATTTAATGCTTTTACGTTGCTTTAAGGTTCGTAACCTTTTATGAGCCTTTTTTAAAATTTAAATATAACTAAGTTAATGTTTCTTTGGTATTTTTAAATGAAAAATGAAAATGAAACGTAACAGAACAGTTCTTCTCAGTCGGACACTCTTGTCAGAGTGGTCGTGGTTGCGTTGACGCTGTATGTGCAGTAGGACCTGTTAGGTCGCCCATGCTCCCGACAACCGTCCTCCAGGCAATGTGCTTCCAGGTCTGGCGGTTCGAAGCGTTACGAGTACATTCGACCAATAGAACAGTAACGTAAAAGAAAAGCCCGCTGATTTTATTTTACATTTTCTTCTTACAACTTTGATTCATATTGAACAGCTAATAGAACAAAGTTAAATCGCCTTTACAACATATTTTATTTTGCTTTAGTGGGTGAACGAGTTCACAGCCGGTGGTAAAATAAGTTACCGAAACCCATAGATTAAAAATACACCATATCATAAGTAATAGCATATCTAGTTTTCGGTGACCGTAACTGCGACTGGTCTAATTCCCTGTTTGGGTGAATAGTTTTAAATTATTATTTTGTAAATACATCTTTCTGACATTCCACAATATGCCTAAATACTTTGCTAACAGGTAATCAAGAACAGTCGCGAACACAGTACTCTCTTTATATTAACTAATGGTAGACAGCAGATTGGAACGGTCACCGTCGGGCGAGCCGTATGCCCGTTGGCCTTTTTTTAATACTTGGATGGTCTCAAGGTGGGTGGCGCATTTACGTTGTAGCTGTCTATGGGCTCCAGTAACCACTTAACACCAGGTGGGCTGTGAGCTCGTCCACTCATCTAAGCAATAAACAAAAAAAAAATTTGAGTTCTAAGGTCTCAGTATAGTTACAACGGCTGCCCCACCCTTCAAACCGAAACCCATTACTGGTTCACGGCTGAAATAGGCAGGGTGGTGATACCGTGGAGCTTCAGCGCTCACTTCGAAAAATTGGGCCCTCGGCTGATGGCGACGGCCGGCTCTTTGAGCCGGCTGCTTCCAAACGTCGGGGGTCCCGATCAGGTGGCGCGCCGCCTCTACATGGGGGTGGTGCGGTCGATGGCACTATACGGCGCGCCCGTATGGTGCCAGGCCCTGACCCGCCAGAACGTTGCCGCGCTGCGACGTCCGCAGCGCGCGATCGCGGTCAGGGCCATCCGAGGATACCGCACCGTCTCCTTCGAGGCGGCGTGTTTGCTCGCCGGGGCGCCACCCTGGAACCTGGAAGCGGAGGCGCTCGCTGCCGATTACAGGTGGCGTAGCGACCTCCGCTCTAGGGGGGAAGGGCGCCCCGGCGAAGGAGTAGTTCGAGCGCGGAGGCTCCAATCTCGGCGGTCCGTGCTGGAGGCGTGGTCTCGCCGCTTGGCGGACCCGTCGGCCGGCATCTGCACCGTCGAGGCGGTCCGCCCGGTTCTCGCGGACTGGGTGGGCCGCGACCGCGGATGCCTCACCTTCCGGCTGACGCAAATGTTGACCGGCCATGGGTGTTTTGGCCGGTACCTTTTTAAGATAGCCGGAAGGGAACCGACGGCGCAGTGCCACCACTGCGTGGACCGCGACGAGGATGACACAGCGGAACACACACTGGCGCGTTGCTCTGGATTCGACGAGCAACGCGCCACCCTCGTCGCGGTCATAGGAGAGGACCTCTCGCTGCCGAGCATCGTAGCCACGACGCGTCCTGGAAGGCGATGCTCGGCTTCTGCGAGTCCACTATCTCGCAGAAGGAGGCGGCGGAGCGAGAGAGGGAGAGCTCTTCCCTTTCCGCACCGATCCGTCGCCGTCGAGCCGGGGGCCGGAGGCGGGAATACGCCCGTACGTCTCGGCCCCTGTAGGTAGCGGCCTCCCCCCGGTGAAGGTCAAGGGGTGACCTGAGGGGGTGAGGCCGCGCGGCGCGCTACCAGCACTCTAGCGCGCTGCCGTGGAGTGAATAGAGCGACCGGTCGACGGTGTATCGCGTCCCGACCCGGCAGGCTGGTTCTGGTCCAGCGGGGTATTCCGGGACACCAGCGGCACCGTCTGGGCGGCCCGACGGGCTGCCGNGCGCGGCGCGCTACCAGCACTCTAGCGCGCTGCCGTGGAGTGAATAGAGCGACCGGTCGACGGTGTATCGCGTCCCGACCCGGCAGGCTGGTTCTGGTCCAGCGGGGTATTCCGGGACACCAGCGGCACCGTCTGGGCGGCCCGACGGGCTGCCGTACCGAGACGGCCGACGTTTCAGAGCCTTCGATTCGCCTCGAAGGCTCTGTCGGCTGGGCGTCCTTGGGGTGAGCCGCGCCGTCTGGTTGTAGTGTTGACCGCGGTAGCCCCCCTACCTCATCCGGGTTCTGACCTCGGAGGGGATCGGACGTCGGGTGTAAGAGTGCAGGGGAGTCGTTTAGTGGGTGGGCTCTAAAATCCTTGGGCCCGCGGTCTGCTCACAACACCATGCAGATCGTTAAGTCTTACATACCCCGCGCGCCCCTTTTGCGCGGGTACCTCGTAGGAGGTTCGGCCCTCTACCCGAAAAAAAAGGGTGGTGATACCTACCCGTGCGGACTCACAAGAGGTCCTACTACGATCAAAACAAGGCGTACAAGGGCAATAAAAAAACTAAGCGGAGTGCGTCTTACTTATTGGGCCATATGTGAAGTGCATAAGAAACAATATCTGACAGTGAAAAAATTTCAGAGCATAAGAATTTCACGAAGAAATTCCTTTCGTTATAAAAAAAATACCTGTAATCTTTCAAAAGGATTCCGTCGTTGTGGGATTGTAAAAGAATTTTTCTTTTACGTAACAAACTAATGTCGAAAATGTGATTTTTATTAGGCCCGCAACCCCTAAAACATGATAAATAGAGATGTATGGCCCGGGAATCGGAGCGACAATATATATAGATAGGGAAGCTTCGAACCACCATCGCCTTTTTGTCGCCATATTTTTATATCGGAGTGCCAAAATACGTCTTCAATTTTTTTTATGTTATGATAGAGCGTAATTCAAAGAGACGAAAATATAATATTTAAAGGGCTAATTTGGTGAATTCGTCGAAAGAAAAAAATAAGGGTCTAGAAGCTTCTACGTATGTATTGAAGTATTCTGATGAACCTTGTATTGACTTATTTCTGCCGCCAAGCGTACATAACTGTCATACACAATCAGGTCATCGACCTCATCGATATTCTTGAGATCCAGTTCAAATCCGAAGCAATCAAAAAAACCGCAAGTAGTTGTCGATAAACAGGATAAACGTACTAGAAGTGAAAAAGAAACTAGAACAGTATCATTGTAAATAATATCTTCCTGTGAATGTCGTAAAAAGTGACAATAATACAATAGTAATTAACTGTGAGTGCTAACTGGCATTTATTAGCAATGCGTATTATAAAACCACACTGAGAGGTAGGTACAGTACAAATATCCTGTCTATTTCTCCCTCCAGATCTTTTTCATGATGGAAAGATTATAAAAAAAAAGTTCTGGAGGGAGTAAAATGCGTATTATAAAATCACACTGGGGGGTAGGTACAGGACAAATATCCTGCCTATTTCTGCCTCCAGAACAGTCAAATGTTCCAGTTTCAAGAGTACAACGGGGCTTACATTATAAAATATGTACAATTAAGACTTCAACCACAATTCTCAAAGTCAGTGGCGGCATTCATTTAAATTTAACATGAGCTGTGAGTTGATTTAACCATCGAAGCAAAAAACTATCTATGCCTACTGTAGCATAAATATTTTTCGTTTTCACTCCTGGTATGCTAAATGATCGTTTGATTCATTTTTCCCATGTCTACTGTCAATATTCACATCATAGCATGAGAGGACCTTACTAGAAGAGCACATTTAAAAACTGTTACTTTAGCGATATCTTTGTTTACAGCTTTTGCAATTGTCTCCGACTTCGTTAACGCTGGACATGCTAGATTTTACTGCATCGGGCACGTACGCCTGTGAAATAGCATTGGAAACACCGTTGTATTCAAAAGTGTCAAAACTACACGATCTCACTGTTATCGGTAAGTCTATTTCGTATTGCTTATACCATTAGAACCAAAATTAAAAAACATGCCATGTTTTTTTCTTAAAAATAAGTATCTTATTACAGTTCTTCTGTAACATGACTATATAATCTCGGAATAAGCTTTTCATTGGCACTTAGAGATTTTCTTTTTTCATCATGACCGACGTAATACATCCGAATCCTGCAACGTATATATCCTAATTTTCCTAAAATTTCCGGGTCACGTGGCTCTCGGGCTTTAAATAATCCACTTTAGCCGCTCTCTCGTTAGCTTTATTGTGACTCCATTGGCTCTCGTTTCCTTTTACGTTGGCACTTTTTATGTCACTACATGCAGGAATGGCCGGTTTTATAATGGGTCTACTTTCAGAATCCACTACCTTTTATCCTGATGGAACGTGTTCTTTTTAAGTAGAGAAAATTAAATGACCTGATCTTTAATTTAAACTACAGATGGCTTTTTTTTTTAACTAATAATGAACAGTAATATATTTCATAGGATCTTCTAGTGCTACTAAGGCTTAGACTTCATGTCTTCGAAGGCAAAAATTTGTATACCAGGATACAAATTTTATACATCAACAAAACTATCTTTTGTAATGACTTCACCTTTGAAGCCCAGTTAGAAGGACCTCAAATTAAGTGTTCTTTACTTTATGTTGTATTAGTTTTGGTTTCCAGTAGCCAGTTTGCAACCGGTGGGCCTTCGGTTTGTCCACTCATAAATGAAAAAAAAAAAAATACATTGATAACTAGTTTTTCGATACCAATGTTTTGCTAGATCTACTTGTGTGTGATTCTTTTCGGCGCAGTAAAATTAGTTTATCCGATTAGTTTGATGGGGAGTAAACAGATTGGGATAAACCAATCGATCCCCAATTCGAGAAGGATGAGGAATCCGCCCAGAAGAATTTGCCTAAATCCCCAATGTGGAAATAAATTCATACGGAACTCTTGAAAGCGTGCACTGTTCATTGGGTTCACTAGGCCTTGATTTGGCTTCCGTTCGCAATTAATTTAGGTTCTGTATCACCCGCTGTCGACAATTTTGTTGCGTTCGAAAAATGTTTTAGCTGTAAGGATTTCTTGGCTCTCATTTGTAATCGATATGTACATGCCTGCGGTGTTGCTTCGCTTTGTTATTGGATATGTCCAAACGTAAAAGCGGATTTACTTGTTGAATCTCGTGCAAATCCTACCGCAAAAAGGATACTTCACTCTTTTCTATTATGATATACTAATTCATAGCACACGAACTTTTAAGAAATACTCTAAATCTATCGTACCGTTCATTAAAAAGGTAGAACGTACCTACTGCTCTTATTAGTTTGAGTGGTGGATGATTATAGTAGATATTGGTCTTAGAATGGATTTATTCGATACAAAGACTGGCTATATCAATCTAATATGTTCCTAATTATCTGCTACCTGTTTTTCAATTCTGATATAATTAATGATCAAAGATCTACAAAGCGAATTAATAAGATTGAAAATGTATAAGCCAAAAAAAATTTTATTTCCGTATTAATAAGTTAAAATAATTATTATTATTAATGTCTCTAACACCCAAAAGACCGAAGAAAATACTATTGTAAACGATTTACGACCAGATCGTTTTTCCAGTTATTTTACTTTTGCTGTATTATTTTAGTAGATCGTCATGAATTGAAGTCCTAAATTGAAACGACTTTCAGGGTTTAATTTCGGTTGACAGTCATATTCAAAATATAGCTAATAAAAGTTAGACTAAAGCTCTAAAACTGCTACAAATAAAATATAGATTAAAAAATACGGAGAAACTACTAGAAGGTTTAGCTAAGTAACTTTGTTCGTATCTTTAATTAAACCTTTATGGTTCTCATAAATGAACGACAGACTTAAAATACAATTAATACCGCACGTGTAATTTTCATTTCATTTTCATTCGTTCGTGAATGTTTGTCACAACATTTCCACGTTTTATCCATCGGCCTCCGGGTTAATTAACGCAAATGAACGTCCAAATATTGTTTCAGTGCGTCAGAAAAACCGTCCAAAGATAAAAATAAAGCATAAAAAGCTATCGTCCAGCGAACACTTGGAGGCGACGTGTCAGAGCGCTCCTGCCCACCCCGCGCCACACCTCACCTGGTTTATAAATAATATGAAGGTACGTAAACTGAATCTATACTAATATCTATATATATATAAAAATGAACTGCTGTTCATTTGTCTCGCTAAAACTCCAGAACGGTTTGACCGATTTGGCTAATTTTGGTCTTGAATTATTTGTGGATTTCCAGAGAAGGTTTCAAAGGTAGATACATATGAAAATGCTCGGAATTAAATAAAAATAACAATTTTGTTTTTCCTTTGATGTATCCCAAGTCGGACGGATTCCTTCTGTTTGTTTTAAGTTTATTTTATACAAAAGTTTAGGTCTTTTATTTGTCGATTGAGACACTACGAAGTCTGCCGGTTCAGCTAGTACTAATATATTAATCTACAGTAGTTTTTACGTATGTTCCGTTATTACTACCGAACCATGCATCCAATTGACTTGAAACTTGGCATCCATGTAGAAAATACATGTACTTAATGGATAGGCTAATAATTATATGAGTTTTGGACTCCCTACACCAGTTGCGGGGGCGTTAATGATGACAATCTTTGTGGGGGTGAGAAATAATAATGTTAATTTTAAATGCCCACCGAAGCGGACGGGTACAGCTAGTTTTTTATAATTTCGTAAGCAAAAAATGAAGCACGTTTCGTATTGAATAAGATTTTCATCACAGCTATGTTTGACGTATTGGCAACGCGTGGAAGACTTTCAATCTTGTTTAGTCATATTTTTCGAAATCACGCCATGTTTTATTTCCTTGGTCTTTCATAATTACAATTTACATAAAAAACGTAAAATTTGTTTGTTAAAGAGAAAGAGAGAGAGAGAAAAAGAGAGAGAGAGAGAATACACTTTATTGCACACCAAAACACAATATACATTCAAAAACAGTCAAAAAACAGATACATTTGTACAGTAGGCGGTCTTATTGCTAAATGCGATCTCTTCCAGACAACCGTTTAATATACAGAAATTCTGGAAAATATAAAAATATAGCAGGTGTGTTGCGGTGTACATACATTATTATAGAAAATATATACATACAATTTTTTTTTTCTTAAATGGGTGGACGCACTCACAGCCCACCTGGTGTTGAGCGGTTACTGGTGCCCATAGACATCTGCAACGTAAATGCGCCACCCACCTTGAGAAACAATATATACCGTTTACATAATTGATTTATATATTACTAGCGACCCGCCCTTGCTTCGCTTCGGAAACATTAAAACACACATGAAACCAAAAAAAAAAAAAAAAATTAAAAAAAGTAGCCTATGTTCATCAGGGACAATGTCGACTTCTAACGGAAAAAGAATTTTTCAAATCGGTCCAGTAGGTTCGGAGCCTATTCGAAACAAACAAACAAATCTTTCCTCTTTATAATATCAGTATAGATACATACTTACATGCTAATACACATAATTTATAAATCAGCAGTATGAAAATGATACAAACAAACGACACTAAGCAGATAAGTAATGTTCCATCACCATTCTTTTAAAGTAGATTAAAGTTGGAGCACTTCATCCAGCAGACCATTCCACTATCGAACCGCCTAGATGGTGAATGAATTATCAAAGAATGATGATGAATGAGTCGGCATTTTCAGTCGACGAGTTAAATTGAGTCTCCAGATCCTAAAAATAATAATAATACAACTCTTTATTTGACACCACATGTACAGATTAAGCATATAAAACAAATAATAGACGGTGACATAAATTGGCGGCCTTATCGCTGAAAGCGATCTCTTCCAGGCAACCTTGCAGGGAGCGGAATAAGCAAACTAGCATAGACGGTGCTATATCTTAATAAACTTACATATAAATATATACTTATATACACATGTGAAAAATAAATACAATATAAGATAGACAAACTTACATCCGATTGAATACAAATAAATGCAAATGCAAAAAAATGCTTTTAAAAAAATGTTCTACTTATTTTCGCATAAACATTCCTAAAAGCTGTACGCAAATTCATTCCTAAAAGCTATACTATAGTAAAACACGATAGTTCTATCACAATTGTGGCGAAAGGTTGTCAGTGACCTCAGGAATGGTATTCCATTAGCCTGTCAATGTCTGTCTAGCCCCGTGTTGGGATCGAACATGCAAGCCGAGTTCGTTAGCTGCCTTTGAAATCGTGATAGAATCTGATCCGAGAATATAAATCTGTTGAGCTTTAGAAAGAAAAACATTTCGTTAATGTGCTCCTTTTAAAGTATCGTTAAAAATGTATTATTATTGTAAACTACAAAAGTAAAAAAAATAATCAAGAATAAACGAATAACTAGAACGATATAAAGTTTGCTGTAAATATGTATCTAAAACGGTGTGTTTATGTCACCGGCAATCTGTATAATTCAGGTATTCTATACAATACCTAGGTAATTAACGGCCGTCTGGTGTAGTGGTAAGTGACATGGTCACTACACAAGGGGGTTGCGGGTTCGAATCCCGCCAAGGGAAGATATTTGTATGATAAATATAAATGTCTTTTCCAGGGTTATGGATGTATATTATATATGTGTATGTGTATAAAAAAATCTTACATTTATTTCCGTTATCTGGTACCTGTAACACAAGTTCTTTACGAACTTATCACGGGACCAGTTAACGTGGCGTGATTGTTAATAAATATTTATTTATTTATTTATTAATGTATAGAATACTTAAAACGTTAAGGTAATGTATGAAATATTATGAATATCATTGAAAAGAAGTTCCTTATGGGACGATGCGGAGGGGTACCCTAACCGGGAAAAAACGTCCGTAACGTAAGACTTTTATTAGTAATGCACACAGTGTACGACTTAACTTTGTAATAACATACAAAAAATAACATATTTTTTTATCATTCATTGGCCACGATCTCAAAGCGTTCGTTTGCGCAATACACTAACTCTTGCAAACAACCGTGAATGAAGTGTACTACAATAAGTTCGTACGTTACCGAATGACTGTGGGTTGTTGCGAAACCTCCAGTTTTATTTTCTTTATACCTCGAATAGAACTTAAAATTAATATTTTTATAATAAGGAACTTCGTTCCTATACGGTGTCCCACGACACTACTCATCTTTTTTTCCCGTATATACTTTACCTAGGTAATGTATACAATTCCTAGGTATTGTATATAAAAAATATATATGCACGAGTAGTTACCACCTTTTTTTTCCTACCTATTCGCTTGTAGCCTATTAGGCTATACCAGCTACGCCCAGACGGGTAGGTGAGCTCACGGGTTCACTCTGAGAGAATCTGCTAACACTGGCCCTAGCAAGAGCAGTGCTTCCCTGAATCTACAACCGGATCGGAATCGTGACCCACTGAGAATAACTGACGAGAAACTCAGTGGACAATCACCACCATTTTACGGCGAAGCGTTCGTTCCACTTTGAAGGGTGTGACAGCCGTTATACAATTCAGTTGAGACTTTGAACTCATTTCTCAGAGTGAACGACGACATTCGCGCTGTGATGTCCACTTAAAGCCAAAAAAAGGGAAACAATACGAAGCAAACATTTACTTTAATCGCATCGTCTTTCCAACCGGAAATCGCAGTCGTTTTCAACAAAAAGCAATGTTTGGATTCACAACGTGATGTATCGATCGTGTAATACGTTTCTTTGCTTAATGAAATTCCTTCACCTATCTGTAATTAGACGTTTAATACAAAGAACAATTTAGTTTTATGACCATAGACAGTTTTTGACGTGTTGAAGCTATTCCTCGACCATATTTTACCATTCAGTTATTATCAGAGATTTTAATGAAGCTTTAGATAAAAAATATTATAAATGAATTGTAACTCGGCGTTATATAAATAGCTTACTTATATTCGTATCTTAAGCTAAACGAACCACGTATCGTCGCATACCCTTAAACTCTTAAAAAAAAACAGATTTGCTTTCAAAAAGAACCACACATTTTTAAAAGCTTAGTTTTTTTTTTATTGCTTAGATGTGTGGACGAGCTCACAGCCCACCTGGTTTTAAGTGGTTACTGGAGCCCATAGACATCTGCAACGTAAATGCGTCTACCTTGAGATATAAGTTCTAAGTTCTCAGTATAGGTACAACGGCTGCCTCACCCTTCAAACCGAAACGCATTACTGCTTCACGGCAGAAATAGGCAGGGCGGTGGTACCTTCCCGTGCGGTCTCACAAGAGGTCCTACCACCAGTAATTACGCAAATTATAATTTTGCGGGTTTCACTTTTATTACACGATGTTATTCCTTCACCGTAAAGTCAAGCAGTTCAAAACAGTTCAGAGAAAAGCATGAATTATTTCCGTATTATTTAAATATTAATCTCTGTTTAGGTCGACGAGCGTCTCACAATTCCCCATGGCGCAGTAAATGTTCATCGTCACCACCACGGCATGCCGCTAGCTATAACCAACTCATCTCTACGCTTCCCATTGAGCAGCCTACAATTATTCCCTAACCAAACCGTGGATATCACCTGCCTCAGTACTATACCTAGCTATGCAAGCATCAGCGAGGGATTCGCTGATGTTCAAAATCACACTGTGACTGGTAAGTATAAATGATTTGTACATTAGACATTGAGATTGACAGAAGTGTAAAGGCTGCAACTGTTCCGTCGCAGGTCACCAGTTGTAGGTTTAACGACGAAAGGAAAGGTCTTCCACCGAGCTGGTGATATTGCTCGGTAGACCGACGGTCCGAATGCTGTTTTTAGCAACTTGTATTCTTCTTCTCAATCTTGTCACTCTTGACAGAGTGGTCGTGATCGTCATGTAGTGTTGGAAGGGGCAGACTTGATGCGTCTCACGATGTTGCGCCATCCCTCCCTGCTCGAGGCCATTCTACTGAACTCATTTAGGGGACCTCCCACTGCAGTTTTAATTTGGTCGGTCCACCGCATTATTGGCCTCCCGCGCGGTCTTGTACCATCAACGCTTCCCTGTACAACGAGGCGTTCTATGGACCGGCCATCTCGTCGCGATACGTGTCTGAAGAAATCCACCATTCGAGACTGTACTATAGCAAATAGACGCTGCTTGATGCCGAGTTCCTGAAGTATCGAGACAATTGTTCGAAAGTCGGTCCACGAAACTCCAAGCATTCTTCTCCAGCACCACATTTCCAGAGCGTCTATTTTCTTTCTTCCACTTGTCGCACGGTCCACGTCTCAGCAGCGTATAGAAATATTGAGAATGTAATAAAATAATATAATATAATAAAATATAATATAATAAAACTTGTATATAAGCAAGCTTATCTTGAAAATGTCGTAAGCGAGATTCAGGCATTTGTCAAATATCTTGTGTTGTATGATGGTTACCGCCACAAGATCACAAACGTGAAGAGAAATTTCAAGTTTTTTTCATTAATTTAATATTATAGTTCATTCGTGTTCTAGAATGTAGCTTTATTAAAACAAATTTCCTTCCAGTGAATGTCGTACGCCTGGAACCGGAGCCCACGCAGCTGCCCGTCAAAATAATTAGTTCGGAACTGAACTCGTCCCAACGCATCTCATCTCGACTACTCATGTTCATTGTAACATTGGTCTGTCGTTTTAGCCATAATTTTTTTTAAAGATCCAACGTAAATATGTAACAGAAAATCTGTTTTTGATGTCTGTGTAATTTTGTATTAATTAAGAAAAATAGTTTCCGTAAACGCTGTTAATGTGAATTTTCTTCGTACCAATTTTGTTTTATTACGCGACATTTTTTGTCTAAAGTGTATTTAATAGCTCCCAACATTTATTTAAAAATTTATATTTCTTAATTTTCAAACTTTAAGTTAACAAGAAAATTGATTGAACATAACTTTAATTGCTGACACAAAATCGTTTGTAGCATTATGAAACTTGTCTATCAACATTCCATCTCAAAAGATCTAGAGTGAATAGTGACGAACAAAATTAATGTTTACACGAATAGAATTTAGATTCAAAAAACACATCGCAACTTGACGATAAATAAGCACACCAGAATGAAATACAAACACAATAAACAGACAGGCGTTAAAAGGTTTCGGTACAAGGACCACAGCGAAGACTGCATTATTAATTCGTGTCTTGAACCTAAAATTATTTACTTTAATGGTACCTTTGAAGCTACAGTTTTTTTTCGATTATAAACTGATGTTATAAGGAATTTGGATTAAGCAAAAAAAAAAGAAGATGGATATGAAAACTGTATAAAACTCTAACTTAAATAAAACAAATTTATCGTTCGTGTATTATTTTTATTAGGCATGCATTAAAAATTTTAGCTTGAAAATAATTGAGTATTTAACGTTGTTCTAAGCTTATAGTTCAATATCAGTATAGTAGAATCAATCAATTTTTAATATTCAACCAAGTCAACATTTTAGGTTATAAAAGCATATTTATACAACAGTAATAAAATGAGACTAAAAACAACCTAAAACTCCAAATTATATTAGGCAAGGATATAGTTGCGCCCTTTGTAGTTTAATTTTCATAAAAGCGATGATTATATTCCATCAGATGAGCCCCAACATATTACGCAAGGAAGGTAATAAAAGTAACTGTTTTTCATCAACATTGATTAATGAATTAGAAATTATTGGCTTGAAAAATTAACAAAAAAGATAATACTAAAATAGAGCTTCATAACCCTTGCTTAGTATACGTATCCTTTGTACAAACAACCCTTAACTTATGTATGCGCAAATCTTTGATTGTGTGCAAATATGAGACTGAATTAGAAAATTAGGATAACCCTAACATCAAGACCTTTACATACCAGTTGACTAGTCTCGGTATCTCCAAAATTGTACTTTAATCTAGCATTTATACGGTTTAGTATTTGATAACAAACAATTTAGACATTTGATTACGTAAAATACGGCTTAGTCTAGACGGCTTTTTGATTCGTTGCTAAAAAAACAATTTTATAAACATTTTGTTAAACCACACGAACACAAATCAAAGAAATCATTACTTCAATTAATGAAAGCCGGCTATTAATTTTCATCGTTATTTCGGACTTAACTTTTCTGGAACCGTAATTTAGATCTATTACGATTTTAGCTCGAAATCCAGTAATGAATTCTTCAAAATAATATTATCGAGTCACGATTTATTTCAATATTCAAAATACGTGGCACCTTTATTAATTGAGGAACAAGACGTCAATATTTAAATTGAATCAAAAAGTTAAGACCTTCGTAGCCCTAAAATCGTGCTTGAATTTAGGTATAACCTTTTACTGTTTCTGCGTATTTTGCAATAAACAATCCGTCTACCTCAGTTCCAAATACAAGTTCTCAGCAGATGTTCACAATGGATGATATCGTAAATACTTAGTAAAATTGGGAAATCGAATAAAATTATAACTAAAATGAATGGTACTCAAAAGCAAAAATACTTACATAAGAGTCGACTATTATCAAAGCCGGCAATGTGACTTTTGGACAATTATTGGTAAATCCGAAAAACAAATTATTGACTTTGTATTCCATTGGCAGTCTCAAAACTCTTCTGAACGACATCTTAGATAATTAACAGGTTAAGCATTAACCTTTATTTAGTGCAGTTTTTGAACCGTATTCTTTGAAGGAGACGATTATATTCAAATCAATCTGTATTGACATATTAATAAATTTTTTTTGTCCAAATGCACAGATTGCCACCTTTGATAATAGACGACTCATATATACTAAATACTATATAAGAAACGTTTATTTCTTATTATTATATTAGCTACAGCTGTTTCCATTACAAATGCTTACGTAATAACATTCGCGATATAATGACAATGTAGCGTTGACATATTCAGTAAATATTTAAATAACAAAACTCCAAATTCTATTCACGAAGCCTTGACAAACAATTTTAAATGCAAATAAATTAAAGTCGATTGCGTTGTAACAGAAATAAGGGGACAGTTAAAAATATTTGATTTGCTGACGGTTTGGTGAATTGTGAATCGGAAACCTTAATATTTTCTGTGCCGATTTAAAAGGGCGAAACCTTTTCTTAAAATGACTAACACTGCGATATCAATTCATGAGATAGGTGGTAATGATATCTCTGTGTTCTATAAAGTGCAAGAATAACTGGTCTGTTAAGGTACCTATAGCAATAAAAATCAAATTCAAACGATTAACTACATTGTCATATGCTGCTATCGATCGAAGCACAAAAGCAGTGTTATTAACAACACAAAGTCGAGTAGGTATAGGCAAAATCTTGCAATCAAGATCAAATACCCAAATTATAGAGGGAGGGTAAAACAGAAAGCTTCCAGTTTGAACAATCACTATTATGAACGTAAAAAAAAACCTCTAAAATCCTCCTGGATCCAGAAAAAATGAGCTCAGTGCTCTATAGTATTAGGTCTAATGCTACAAAAAATCTAGTAACAAGATCGTTCCCTCCAATATATTTGACTAAGAGGATAAGCACATGGCTATTACTACAAGAGCGTACAAAAGTATGTATTAAATGAAATTAAGAGAGACAAAAGTTACTACTATACTTTATGATCTTCGTTACGATGTATAAACAATTTTCTGTTATTCTCTGTGTGTTTTATGCGTTGGCAAAATATGTGTACGTACGTGTGACGGCTTTTATCTAAATATTTAGGAGCAATTGTGTAACAAAACATATCATAATTAAGGAGTGAGTATTTGTAAATTCATAGGTGTTTAATTGTGGTGGCTTGCCGACTAATTGTTAAAAATCACTTTACATCATTTTAATGATAATTTTATAAATTTGAATCAAAAGTGTACACTTTTTGTATCGACCATTTTTTTAATTTTTTTTTTACTTTTACATCTATTTTATTTTACCATTTTCGAATGGCAAAGCTTAAAGCGTGTGTAGTTAAAAAATTGCCTCTATAAGTAGATATTCAAGGAATTTAACGTATATTTAATGTAAGTTTGTTCGTGGTACGAAAATAAGTTATACTTAAGATTATCCCAAAAGGGTAACAAAAAAATATAGTATACAAATACTTAATTTATAGTAAACTTCTAGTAGAATTTTCTTAAAGATAAGGGAGATCCTGTATACATTCAAACGTGGTTATGTGTATGATTTTCTGTAGCATTCTAGTTCTGAGTCATGTGATGGATTTTTGTTCAGTAGTTTGACATTTTGATACGTTTTAGATCGCTTCGTTTTGTATTCCAGAAATGTAGTCGTCCGGTAATAGACATACCTTACAGACGCGATCTGCAAACAAAGTCTCTCATAATATTCACGCTGAAACATGTATCTCCCATTTATATACTTCGTCAATACAAAATATGTTTATTGATTCTATGTACCGTTCTTATTTTAATATCTAGAGCTTAAATCGGCCAAAACATTTTCAGCCATTTGGCGATTCCAAATAGATATTTTAATACATCCAACTTGAATTGTATACTTGGAAAGAACTCTAATTATGAGTCTGGTTTTTTAACGAATATATGAATGCCACATTGATTTTTTTAAAAGATGTATTTCTGTATTGCCGACGAAATTCATGCAGGCTATCAATGTCTTCCTTATTGCTATACACTCTTAATGTAAACTTTAAGTCTTATTATGTAAGTTAGATTTTATATTGTTAGTTATTATTGTTGTGTAAAAGTAAAAATCCTGCAGCATTAATATTCAATTATTATTATTATATTTATTATTTGTTGATTGTATCCGTGTTGCTTTAATGTGATCGCTGATATGACTTTATACCTAATTGTGAAATTCGTAAATTGTGCAACTAACAAATATTTATTTAAATTTATAATATAGGTATATAAGTATAGTTAAATGTGGAACATGTGTGTTATTTTAATAAAAATTTACTTGTGCTCTTGTTGATTTTTTTAAATAGTTTTTTTTTCTTCTTCTAAATGACGTGTACATTGGTATTGTTGTCTTGATTTTTGTAGTGTGTAGTGTGATCTAAAATAAATTGTTTTTTTTTTTTTTCGATTTTCTTACAATTTATACAAAATGTGAATTTTTATCTCTATATAAATATTACACGTTTGATTTATAAAACATTTTTTTTTCTCTCTAGTTTGACCAAAGCCTACTGTTTAGTGTTTTTTTTTTTAATCCTTAGATGGGTGGACGATCTCTCAGCCCACCTGGTGTAAAGTGGTTACTGGAGCCCATAGACATTAACAACGTAAATGCGCCACCCACCTTGCGATATAAGTTCTACGGTCTCAAGTACAGTTACAACGGCTGCCCCACCCTTCAAACCGAAACGCATTACTGCTTCACGGCAGAAATAGGCAGGGTGGTGGTACCCACCCGCGCGGACTCAATAGAGGTCCTACCACCAGTTAACAATTATGAGTCTTTTAACTTGTGCCCAATGATTTAAGCTTGATTATAATCACTGATACTTCAAGATTTCCATACAGTCTATATGCAACAACTCTTTTGATTCATAACACATATTTAAAAAGAAACTATTTACATATTTTTTTTCTGATAGCACTGAAAGCTCACCAATCGTTACTAAACACAAAAACAAAGTCAATCGATGGATAAACAGAGGAGAAAATGGTATGTAATTCTGTTTAATCTATTCTTATTTATTTAATTAACATACATATATCAAAGGCATAATTTCAATTAATTACTGAGATGCTTAAAAGAAAAGTAATGTACAACAAATAACCTTAGGTACTATTAAATTTTAAGATGACTCGTGCTTAACATTCAACGAAGTC